AACTCCTTTCCCCCCTCTCCCCCTAATTACTACTGGTTCGGCGCTTAAACTTTTGTATTTGCCTGATGCTGAATTAATCGAACGCGTTTGTCCGCTTAACTCGACTTCATTCAATTTATATATTCCACCAATATGATTAGTTCTCGGGGTCTCTTCTCCGGCATTCGCCATACAAATTCTTCACTGGGTACCTCTACTCTATGCTTAACGAAGGGCTACTAACCAACCAACTCTATGCTTAATGGTTGACATATGGGATATAACAATGACATCCGCTGAAGATTAAATAAAACCTGGAAATATTTGCTGATCTAGTGTAGGTGTTGTTATTTTTTTGAATTTTGGGTAATTCATCTAGCCAAAAAAAATTTGAACCAGTTTTTTTTTATTATCCAGCAAATATTTAATTGCTTACCCGGCGAAATCTTCCAATACCTGCCTGCCTTTCTTCATTCCCTTGCATTTCTAAACGAAATTTACGCGAACCATTTAAACAGCCTCCATTTCCGTTACGTAACCCCTACCATTGAGGAAGACAGCCATTAAGCATTTACTGGATCGTTATCTGTTGGATACCAAAAGAGTGCTATCCCTCAAACCCGGGCGTTCACATATTTCTAGACTATATGGATTACCTAAAACACTTTAAAAGGATATACTCCTAAGACTAGTTCTATCCATGCATAATTTACCTTATCACGTGGGTCTTTTTGGCCTTGTTTTTTTTCATTGGCACATGATAAGTGCGGAGTGAGGCCTATGCTGTAACTGTCTCCATAAGTCACCACTGTTCTACGGCAACGGTAGGGATTTTATTCAAGCACGATAAACTATAAGGCTGCATGCATTTCGTTTACCTACTCGTCACCCTCAATTACTGAATACCTCATCACGCGACAACCAGGGTCAAAAAAATAAGTACGCCACAGGTACTGAATTCCAACAATTGCCAAATCATTCGCAAAAAGGCGTTGTATATGGATACTCTATCTGCATGTTGACACGCACTGTAATAAATTGGAAAACAAGGTTGTTTTATCATAGAGCCGTCAATGCGTGTTGAGCGCGAACCACTACCCACAGATTCACGCATAGATGAGATGAGCAACCAAATCGCATTGGAACCCAATTTTAGCAAGCGTTCATTTGGTCGAGAATGTCTCGGAGGCCGCCTTATCGCGCAGTTGGGATTGCACACAGACCGGAGAAAACCATTGCCGATTTTTAGTGCATCCATGGGCAAGGCATCTGCAGGAGAATCTAGGGCAACAGTAGCTTATATAGGCCCACTCATTAATCCCTTCTCCCTGCATGTTTTCCTACGAAAACGGTGATTATAGGGTTTTATGGGTGGG